ACCCATCTGGGTTTGGGGTTCATTGGCTCAGGGAGAATTGCCATCTTTGGTCTTGGATGGGGTGGCACTACCCTAAACAGACCCTGTGTGTAATCTGGAGGTTCTCCTGGACTCACAACTCCTTCTTGAAGAGAAAGTGGCGGTCGTGGCCAGGAGGGCCTTTGCACAACTGCGAGTTGTGCACCAGTTACGCCCTTTCCTGGATCAACAATCCCTACTCACAGTCACTCATGCCGTACTCACTTCCCGTCTGGACTATTGCAATGCGGGCTGCCCTTGAGGAGCATCCAGAAGCTCCAGTTGGTGCAAAATGCAGCGGCCCACATGGTGTCCACATGTATTACTTCTCATGCAGGAGCTGCATTGGTTTCCGATTTGCTTCCGGGTGCAATTCAAGGTGCTGGTTGTCACCTTTAAAGCCTTTCATGGTTTGGGACCAGGTTATCTGAGGGACCGTCTCTTGCCGGTCACATCTATCCAACCCATCAAAGCGAGAGGCAGGGAATGTTGCAGGTACCATCCCCGAGGGAGATATACTTGGCAGGACCCAGAAGAAGGGCCTTTTCCATGGTGGCTCCCTCTCTCCAGAACATCATTCCCCCAGAGATTAGAATGTCCCTCACTCTAACACTCTTTCGGAAGGCGCTGAAGACCTGGTTCTGTCAGCAGGGCTGGGGAACCCAGAGCGGGATGGAGCCATTAAATGACTCATGTGATCTGCTGTCATTGGGGCAGGGAGTGGGGGTGATTTTATTATATTATACTATATTAATTTATTTGATATTTTAAATTAGTTTTATTGAGTTTTTATATTCTGTAAGCCCCCTTGAATCACCATGGGCAAATAAGCGGCTATATAAATTCAATAAATAAATAAACATCAAAGGGCAGATGGACCGCTAGGTCTTTTTCCATCAGTTTTCTATGTTTCTGTATTAGGATACGCTCTTGAGATAAAAGCCCTTTGACATTTCTTTCAAAGAAAAGAGGATCTTAACTTGCTTTCAAAGCTCTCTCTGGGCGGAATGTTTTGCAAATCAAGGTTTGGGTTGGTGATTCATCTGGACAGCAACTTTTGCCAATTAAAGTTCCCGGATTGCCTTAGGGAAGAAGGGGGCCTAAGATTCTTTTTTACCTAAGGCAGATCTTGGGCTGAGTTGCATTTCTCTACTAAGTACTTGGCAATCACTGCAATACTCTCTGTGTTATGTTTTACTCTCCTTTACTAAATCTATTGCCCTTCCCTTCCCACTCCCTTGGCCACCTGCCACACTGTTAATAAGTAAAGAAAACGACTGGAAATGTCTATTCCGCTCCCAGGCTAAAAGAGCACAGGGGTAGAGAAGGTACTTAATTAAATGCCATTAAAATGAGACAAAGGAATTAGCTCCACATCAACCATGTCATGCCACCATTCCACATTCTGCCACTTCCAGCCTCACACTACACTATGTGGGC